TGGTATATAGGGTAAGAGGTGGGACATGGATGGATGGATGCTTCATGACTCCTAGTGTTTCTCTAGTTGCCTGAATTATCATTCTTGACCATCTTACATTTCCACCTGTCGCCTTCCTTAAGCCTAAATAAAACACGTCTCATCTGATGCTCAAATGGTTTATTTATGTACAAACATATCCGTCCCCAAGGTAGAGACTGTCAGAGATGCATAACAAAAAAGAAAAAGGTATAAGGTGCAAAACACACACTGATGGATGAATCCCCCCCCCCCCCCACCCCCACCCCCACCCTCACACAATGCCCAGCAGTTTCACAATTTATTCCCAATAGACAACCTGCTCCCCCTTAGATAAGCATCCCTATGATGCTGTAAGACGGTGAATTGGTGGCAGTGTGTAGGATAGCGGGATACCAGCCTGAGCCGGAAGTAGACCCAAGTATTTACACAATGGTGGTCCAGTCAGAGCTTCATGTAGCAGGTGGAGATGCTAAGGCTACATGTGTCAAGTCTCAGTAAAACACCTCATTCATTCATCACCTACATGGCAGCAAAGCAATGGCAGTGGAGCGTGAAGGTAGCACCCAAAAGCACAGTGTGTGTGTGTGTGTGTGTAGCAGTTTGAAAATGAAATCAGTCGTACAAGTGTTTAAATCAGTGTGTTGCTGAAGGATTGGGAATGTGCCTCACACACACAGATCACAGGACATGAGACCAATCACAGAGGTCCGACTGAGAGTCTGTTATGAATCTGAAACCTGAGCTGTGGAAACAGACGAAGCCAAACGCCATCAGTCCGCTGAAGAACCAGTCCCTCCATCAGAAAGGGATCCTCTAGCAACACACTTAGGCCATTTTGAAATGACTGTCTTCCAAGTAATTCCCATCTTACTGACTTTCTAAGCAGCCTCCGTTGAGAGAAATAGTTTACACCCTTCACGCCTGATCAGCTAAAGCTTTCAGATGCATTCAGGTGCAGCAGGAAATTATGATTATTTCTGCTGAAATAGTAACAAGAGATGTGTGTGAACCACAGGGAAATGTAGACGTTTGGAGTTGTTCTTTCAAAACAACAACCAGCTTTGGGTCAGGAAAATATTAACGAGCTAAATTCTACCGGTTTGGTTCATCTTTATTCTTTAAATCTTTGCTATGGACTTCTCATTTGACAGGAACGATTCTGGCCTTGATTCCTGGATGCACAGAAAGCTCAGCATGTAGTATCTGCTGCAGATTTTTACACGTTCTATAAAACATTTCCATATTTTCTCATTAAACAACCACTTGCTGGTCTGAGACTAGCTGTTAGCTTATCAGTCCTGATGGATATGAATTGTTTCTCTTAACAGAGGCCATTCAGGAGGCTACAGTAGATAAAATGTGAACTTTTGCTATTTCAAATGTACAGTTTTCTTATAAAGGACGCTGCTCACACACCTAAACGGGTCACTGTAACATATCCCGTGTGTCATTTTCATTTATGTCTTCATTGGTCATTTAAAAGGGCGGCCTTCCTGTAAAGTAGAATCCAGTCATGGCCTTGTGTGTGAAAGTGAGCGGCGCAACAATGTGGTGTGACCCCAGTTTCACCAGGAACCATTAACAGATGAGCTCATCTACACGTGGAACACCCAACGGTGACGTAAGCCCGACTTAAAACATGAAAACAGAACTTTTTACCGGACAGTCGAATGTGTTCTCCACAGAACCTCCTCACCCAAAGTATCAAAAAGTGAGCACCACTTCGTTTTGGTGGTTCTTTTGTTTTGGAAACAAAAATATTTTGCTTAATAAAATAAATGTTAAAATTCTGTACGTAAAAAAGCGGGAATGGTTAACATTTTTAAAACCGTGACTCTAACAGCGTCCTGATGAACGAGGATTGTGTTTAAAAACACATCAGAACCGCCATCATCATCATCGCAGACGGGATCAGGGTTTGAACTCCTCCATGCTGCAGGTTCCCTCTAGTGAGACAAATACTTCTGCTTCTGTATACCTCCGGTAGAGAACGCTGTTGTGTGTGAAACTACTACAAAAAACTCTAAAGTATTTTAAATATATCAGCATAAATAAAAAGGGAAGTATTTCCTATAAAAATGTACAAATAAATACTTGGTTGTGACTTTTTAAACTGCTGGAAAACAGAAACAATGAAGACGTGGCTTTAGCAGAAACGGGTTAGCATGCTGAGAGAGCCGATTAGCATCAAAGTCAACGCTGTGCTGGTGTCCTCCTCGGCACTCTGGCTGTTGGAACGCTTTTAAATAAATATTTACACAGTGTGTTCAGCAGAAACAAAACAGGAAGTGGAGTCAGTAGGAGGCGAGCCATCCGGGTTTATGTGCCAGACTTCTGCTCCCATTCCTGCAACACAAAAACCAAAAAGGTTTGGTTAGCTGCAGCAGCGTGGTCTGCAGAGTAAAGCTTTGATGCCGACGCCCCCACCTGGTGTCTTCTAATCAATAAAAACTTTCACAGCAGAGTCCTGAACTAGAAACGCTTCCATGGATCATCTCTCTCTCTAATTGTGCTCTGACTGAGCAACCGTCCTCTGAGCTACCATGACGCCGCATGTCGGCTGACCATCTGTAAAACTGATTTGGTTTAGCTAGTTTTAAGTTTTCTGGTGCTGATTTGTTGTAGCAATCATCTGGATTTGGCTTCATTTCCCACGTTTACCAGTTGGTTTTCAAACAATAAAAACTTTTTGAGAGTTTTACTAAAACTAATTGTGATGAGATGTGACTCCTGGCCTCCAGGGGGCACGGGAGGAGACGCGATGTAGAGTAAGAGAGACAGAGAGCATGTTGTAAAACGGAGCTCGGTTCGGAGTCCATTAATAAAGAGGTTCCAAAGCTATTTCCACGAGTCAGTGGATTCATGACACTAATCAAGTGAGTCGTGATTTTTTTTTCTAACACAAACAGGCAAAAACATTATCAGCCACCTGTCATCTTTTGGTAACAGGTGATTAAAATCTAATTTCTCTGAATCAAAAAAGTGTTTTTTCATTTAAATATCTGGAAGTTGCAGTCTGTTACAGAAGGGATTTCTGCTGCTACATTACAGGGGTTTGCAGTAAAAGTTCTCGCTTATGGAGACGATCCATGTAGAAATCAGCTCATCACTCATGAGCCCAGTTGGAGCTTTGTAAAACGTGACCTCTGACCTTGGCCTTCCTGAGGACGTGTCCTCGGACCGTTGAGGGCTTCTGGCTGCTCTGCTGGCGGCGGAGCAGCGATGCGCTGTTAACCGGCAGGGAGAGGGACTCCGTGTCACTGGTGTCACAGCTGGAGAAGGGGGAGGACTCCTGAGTCCGCCGCAGCGTGGCAGGAGACTACAAACACACAGACAGATGTGAGCCTCACGCCAACGCAACATTCCAAAATCCACAATCCCAAGAGTCCTGACCTGGAGGGCGGAGGAGGAGCCAGCCTTTGGTTCAATGGTGAGGCCCAGGGTGACCCCCCCACTCAGGGCCTTCTTCAGACTCTCCTTCACCTCTGTCAGCTCCAGCTCCAGGGTCACTCTCTCCTCCTCCTTCTGTTTGCACTCGTCCTCCACCTTCTTCAGGCGCTCCGACAGCGACGCCTGTGAACGTTTCCCTGATGGGTCCAAACACAAGACAGGGCACCTTAATGAGCTCTGAGGTTCTCTGCTTGGATCCTGGCTTTTAGGGAGGACTTCTCACCGGCGTTGGCAGCAGCCTCCACAGCGGTGCGAAGGTCTCTCCTGTCCTTCTTCAGTTGGGTCAGGTGGTTCCTGATGTCCTGCTTCTTCTTCATCAGCTCCTCCTCTTTGGTCTGCAGTCGCTTAGCGTCAGCCTCCACTCGGTTCTTGCCATATTTGCACTGTTCTGAATCTGCACAGAAAAACTGATTGTAAAACCAATCTGGGTCCATTTAAAAGACCTGAAGTTCCCAGAAACCCGATGAACCCTCAGCCGCAGCCTCAAGTGCCGCTTAATTACCCGCCCAACCCTCCATTCCTGGACAGCGGCGTAATGGGAGCCGTCCAAGGCCTGTCGGTCTACGTCTGAGAGCTGTGCTTAGAAGGAATCACTCAGTCAAACCACGGCTGGCCTTGGAAAACTCAACATCTGGCAGGAATCTGGGAAATGTGTGGTACACTTCCTACATTAGCATAAAGGATGAGCTGGAGGAGGGATTTAATATGACCCTGTCTACCAGCTGCTCCACTGGAACTAACCGTCCTCGTCACACGATCGTCTAAACCAGGGCTACTCAATTCCGGGCCTCAGCGGCTGGTATCAGCATTCTTTTGTTTTAACGCTAATTCAACGCACCTGATTTCAATCAGCAGGTGATTAACAGGACTCTGCAGAGCCTGATGAGCTGCAGCACAGGTGATTCACCACTGAATCAGATGTGTTGGACCAGAAAAAACACTAACCCCGGCTTTCCACCGGAGCCGTCAGCAGCACGTTACTGCAGCAGCACGTCATAGCTGCTGATAGGAACCGCTGTGGTCAACAGAACCTTTTCCACCGGAGCCGTCAGCAGCCGTCAGCAGCGCGAGTCGGCCGCGTCTCAGGAGCAGCATGTCGCGGCCTTTACGCGCCGGTTCTATTTTCTACGTGCGACGCCTCTGAAACGGGTCGAGTTCAACATTTTTGGGGAAGGAAAGACAGGAAATCGGACGCGGAAATGGAGAAGCTCCCGAGATTTTCAGAATAAAGAAACGTACTGCCTTCCGGTCGCTTTACTTTTAAAAACGGTTACTAACTGTGCGGCCCCGTGAGAAGTTATCACCTAGCTAGCGGTCTCCTTTGTTTTTCAGGTCCGTATTGGCGATTATTAAAGGGACAGAACATAAAACACAAACATTTTGGAGCCATGTTGTAATTTTCTCCTGCTTGTTGTTGTGTTTATTGACTAAGTCACTCGTGTGACTTCGTGCTCGGTCGCTGACAGCGGCTCCCCTGCTGCTTCCCGTCTCGTGGGAAGGGCCAAGCAGCAGTTTACGCGAGCAAGACGTGCTGCTGCAGTAACGTGCTGCCGACGGCTCCGGTAGAAAGCCGGGGTGAAACGTGCTGGATACCGGCCCTCGAGGCCTGAACTTGAATAGCCCCAGGGTTCTAGGTTTGCACCCTATCGCCCCCCAGCAGCTCCGTCTGCTGCTCCCTAAAACACCAAGCCCCAGATCAAACAGCTGTCTGAGGTCATGACCTTCATGTGACAGAAACTCTCTCTCTTCTCCCCAGTAGGAAAACGTGGGCGGGATTCCAGCTCTTACTGGAGTTGTTGCGTTTAACAGAAGCCGTCCCAGTCATCCCAGTGACTCCATTCTTCTTGGACTGGTTCTTTGGCTCCACCTTCAGTCTGGATGCCGTTGCTCCTTTCTTTCCCTTCAGCTGGAAGCAGAACATCCGTTTAACCATTTTATTCAAGGACACTGTGGACAAAATCCTGTGGATCATTTTCTGCAGCTGACATCAGATTTCCCGAGTTATGGCTGTGAAATGGTTTAAAAAAAGGATCCGTGTGCAAACGCTGTCTGAGCTTAGATTACCAGTAATATCACACAAGACTCCCATGATGTAGTCACATCTCCATTCATGAGACTATGATTCACAATAAAAAATGTAAACATTAAACAAAAGCTATACGTGTTATTTTATAGTCACGTTTGAAATGTTATTTAAAACTTTCTCTAATAAAAATCCACTGGCCACTTTTATGGAGCAAAACCGTAAAAGCAAATTAGGGAGGAATAAAGTAGGGATAACATTTTTTACACAACAGCGAGTTAAAAACGGCCGAGACCCAAGCAGAGTTTGTTAGAGTCGGTTAGAAGATGCCGTGGAGCTGGAGGAGGCAAAGCCAAGGAGTAGTTAGTCACCTGAGCGCTCTCTTTAGATCTAGAGTCAGCAGCGAGGAACTTAGAGGAGACTTTAGAAACTGGACTCTTATAGAGACCAGCAGAGGAGGAGGGAGGAGAGGAGGCCTTGGGAGGATAGCGGGAGGCCAGCTTAGGAGCGGGCTTGCTGTCAAACGTATCTGCATTCTCATAGTGAAGCTCCTCTGTCAGCTGGCACCCTCTAGTGGTGGGAGTGGAGTACTGCAACTCTGGGTCCTGGGGTCAGACCAGGAAATGACCCAGGGAAAGGAAACGGGAAAGGAAGGAGATAGAATAATGTAATAAAGTGGTTAGTAAGGGTTAATGATCATTAGTTTTGTTAACAGAGCCACCAGTTGTCCTTGAACTTCATCTGACGAGTGACTTCTAGCAAGTCCATACCGTTCCGTTGATGGGGACGTCATCATAGTGCAGGGCCATCCCAGAGGGACAGGCGTAGCCGTTCACTGGGTTTCCCCCGTACGGACTGGGAGAGACGGCACGCTTACTGGTGAAGCTGGAGAGACGAGAGCAACGTGAACAAGGAGTAGAAAAGCAGGGTTTTACATCTGGAACATCCCACAGTAGCAGGTGGCACAGCCCTCACCAGAAGGACTGCTTGGCCAGCTGGATGACGTTGGCGGTGGTTTCCACATCGATGTAGTCGTAATGCAGGGTGGCTGGGTCTGTGGTGGAGCCTGTCTCAGCCAGCAGAACCCCCAACCAGCGACCCAGCCCCTCAGAGGAGGAGGCCTGGAGGAGAAGCAGAATCAGCTTTTATGTAAATAAGCAGTTTGGGAAAAGAAAATCCACAGTTAAAGCTGCTGTTAGCAACGTCCAACAGCTGATCCCACTAGCTCACCTCCAGCACAGCCACTTCCTGGCCGTTGCGCAGCAGGCGGAAAGCAAACGGGTGTTTGTGGTCCAGGCCGGGGTTGACCTCGCAGCCTCGGAGGGGCAGAGAGGCGATGTGGCTCTTCAGGTCGTCCCGGTCTTTGTGCAGGAGCAGCTGGTTGTCTTTGAGGCGGCACCAGCGCTCTCGCCAGCGGTTATTGGACAGAACGTTCAGGTATCCTGCAGAGACAATCCACAGCGCCTTATTGTCCCAGGTCCTGTAAGCAGCCACAGCTCTAACGCTAATGCGGGTCTTACCACAGGTGGGCACATCCTCTTCTGCAGAAGACGTCTGCTCATCCATGGATGGCTTCTTCTTCCCCAGGCCGATGATCTTGGTGATCTTCTTACTGGCTCCCTTCCCCACTGTTCCAGCTTTCTGCTCAGACTTGGAGTTTTTCTTGTTTTTTCCTGAGAGACAACAAGATCACGTGTTAGGCATTCAGAAATAACCTTTTTAGTTTAGTTCATTCATTTTTGTCTGATTAACAACCACTCAGTGCTGCATTGTTTTTTTCTTCCTGCCTTTTCTCTCCCATTCTTCCGTCTTTTTCTTTATTTTCAGCTCTTTGCAAGAACTAATATTTAATCATGAAGTTATTTAACCACATTAACATCATGTTACCCCCAAATTCCACTACCTCCGCTCCGCCCCCGCCTTCCGCAGCCGCTCGCTTCCGAACTCAATTTTACTGGTACCCGCTCTACAACGGCTCCGCTCCGGTGCGGAGACCTGAGGGGGGCAAACAAGCATGCGCGGGATTTTCGAGATCTTGCGATACAGTCCGAGCAATAAACGCGGAAGTTAGATCCAAACACCCGTTGTGTGGGAGAAGCATCGAAATGAACTGTTTAATCTGCTCATCAGTTGTGTTGAGAGATCTGCAGTGTTTGGATCAACAAAGTGTGACTACTTTGATAGTAGAAAATGTATTTATGGCTTACTTTTGTGCATTTAAACTTCAGCCGCCACTGATAGTTGTTAAAAGTTGTTAAACCTGTGCATATGAAACAAAAAACGCCTTTTGTTTATCGATTTATTGTGAAAAACGGAAGTTGTGCTCGCTCCTTTTCCTGTTGGACGGTTGTGATTCCTGTCCATTTACTGCGGAGGTGCTCCGGCGTCCGGCAAAAATAGGATCGATTCTATTTTTGCCGGACGCCGGAACAGAGGGCGGCGCACGGCGCCGCACTGCCGGAGCACGGCCGCAGTAGTGGAATTGCTCTGATTGACTAGAACGGGACCGATTTTGCTCCGGCGTTCGTGTCGGAGCGGAGCGCAGCGGAGCGGAGGTAGTGGAATTTGGGGGTTATACTTGTTGAACTTATTAAAGGCACACTTGGCAGTTTAGCTTGCTTTTAGCAGGGTTAACTAATATTCATCTGAGGCCAAAGCAAAAATGAAACTCATCTCCTCACCTCCAACAGCTGAAACGTCTCTCCAGCCTTCATTAGTGTATACAGGTGTGATTCATCACTGAATCAAACAAATCAGCTGTGTTCATGATCTAAAACATGCAGGAAAACATGCTGGAAGCAGGCTGCAGCGCCACTTTTTTCAGACCGGACTGGCACTCTGAAGTTGCAAATGCAGTTTTCTGGCCGCAGAAGGCAGTGGGGTTCATTAACCCTGTAGGGTCATTGTAGGAGAGACTGGCTCAAGAAATGATTGGAAAATATGAAAAAGTTGCATAGTACCCCTTTTCTCTCTCTCTCTCTCTCTCTCTCTCTCTCTCTCTCTCTCTCTCTCTCTCTCTCTCTCTCTCTCTCTCTCTCTCTCTCTCTCTCTCTCTCTCTCTCTCTCTCTCTCTCTCTCTCTCTCTCTCTCTCTCTCTCTCTCATATATATACATTATATTATATATATATATATATATATATATATATATATATATACACACAATAACCAACCAGTAAATGGACTTTGATTTTGAAATCCCCAAATTTTATGTGAACTTCTAATATTTCTACTCAACTCTGCATCTCTCTTATTAACAGTTACAGTGAAGAAAATCACAAGTTACTCATGGAACATTTTCAAAAGGCTACAAAATTTTTTAATGAAACAATATAAAAAAGCAAAAGGACAAGAAGTGGAAAAGAAGGAGGGAAGTATTTTTAATGTTTGGGCAGAAGCTTTATTAGCAGCTTTGGAAAATTTCTACTTAACTAAATTGTTAAGTTGTACAAATAAACAGCAGGGAAACTGCGATCTGTTTAAATTGTGTTTTTGGTTTGTTGTTGGGTAACAGCACGTCTGAAATCAGGATGATGAAGTGCAGAGTTGGGAAACAGCCGTGTCCTGAGCCCAGTGACTGCATACAGTAATAAGAATGTCTGTTATTGGCTGAAAGTTGCAGATATTCCTGCTGCTAAAAACGTGAGTATGTGATGAATGGAGGACCCGGGGAAGTGTAGTGGTTCAGCGAGACCGACACCCAGGTGGTCCAACAGCTGCTATTGGCTGGAGTTGTTTCATTGGTGGAGGTTTTTAGGCAAATGCGAAAGAACCACTTTATGAATTTTTTTCATTTATTCTTGTAATCTCCACAACATCTTTACAGTGATCCCTCGTTTATCGCGGTAGATGCGTTCCAGACCTGGCTGCGATAGGTGAAAATCCGCGAAGTAGGGACACCATATTTACAGTACAGTGTCAGAACCCAAGTTCCCAGGCCAGCCTCTTCCCGCTAGCCGGCCTCCACTATGGACCAAAACTCCCAGCATGCCCCTCGCGGGGATTCCCTCCACGTCGCATCTACGTCACAAACCGCAGCTATAAACGGAAGTCGCCTTTCCAGCTCACCACTCAGTCATCGTTTCTTCAGATTCATAATCAGAGTTTCCAACCTACCGATCCATCCCACGAACTATCAGCTAGGGTTGTCACGGTATGAAAATTTAACCTCACGGTTATTGTGACCAAAATTATCACGGTTTTCGGTATTATCGCGGTATTTTTTAAACGGTGTTGCATATGTTCAGAAAGCATTGATAGTCCTGTTCTACACAAACTGAAATAGTTTTGAAAAGGTTTAACTGTGTTTATTAAACCTAAAATAACACAAAGCCTTAGCAAAAGTGCAACTTTTCACAAGTAAAGGAAAAAATAGCTTATTTTTCTGGAACATGTTACAGTAGTCAGTGCAGGTTTAAATTATACAAATCCAAACATTCAAAACATAAACAATACGTAAACAAATCAAAGAAACACCACTTGTTTTCTCATATACTTGTTTTCTTCATTATCAAAATGAAAATCTAAAACTCCAGTCCACACTTGACTTGAGCGCTGTACAAGTCAACCTTAAAAAATATGTATTTAAAATAAATAGCCACTTTAAACAAATTACTAAAATAACTACTACACTATGTAATCAAATCCAAATGTTCAAGTATAAATGGCATTGAATAAGTAAACAAATCAATGACAAGGAACTAATTGTATATTTCTCTTCATCATCAACAAATAAGATGCTTCATCCAGCAACAGGGTGTCCGACACGGTTTAAATGCTGGCAGAGGACGCTGCGGCTGCAGTATATAGTGACTCGTTGCATTCTCCCTCAACCAAAAGTCCTCACGTCATGCATTTAAGCTAAAATGCTAATGTTGACTTACCTTGCACTGGCTGTAGAGACGTGGGTGATGGTCACGCAGATGTGCCATTAGATTCGAAGTGTTGCTGCCTTTTGCAGACACTTGTTTCCTGCACGTTCTGCAAACGGGATAGCAGTCTTCTATTAACTGTCCCTCAGCATTTTTCAGAAATCCAAAATATGCCCATACTTCCGATTTAGTCTTCTTTGAGGGCTGATGGATGTCCTGGGCGCTGCCGTCTCCTCCTTCGGCCATTATTTCAGCTTCAAAGTTTTGGTGCCGTTGCAAACTAAAAAGTGCGTGTGCGCGCCGCGGGAACTTCAGCTGAAGCGACGGTGGCTGGTAAGGGTCACCGCGCCTAAACCGCGGCCACGGTAAACCCACCGAGATAATTTAGTTTTTTAAAAACTGGACGGTTATTTTTATTGTCAACTTTTTTACCGGGGTTTACCGCTATACCGGTTACCGTGACAACCCTACTATCAGCTCATAGTAAGTTATCTTACTTACTTCTGGAAAGCCCGGCATTTCCGTGTCACTTCGTTGATGCTCGAACGCTCGGGGGTTTCCTAGATTAAATGTGTTTCACCGACGCTCTCACTTCCGTGTCTGTGAAACCACGCTCCCTACAAGCTCAACTCCCGAATCCAGCCGACCAGTCTGACATACAGTACTATACTGAATTATCGTATGATCGCATTCTCTTTTTGTGGGTAAAACTCAAGAAAAAAAATTGACTTGTTTTTTTATAGTTTTATTACAAAAGTGCATTTTATGATGAAATTGATGAAAAAAACCAGGAATTTCTTGATATTTCGCATAGAAAAGTACCGCGAATCGGTGAAAAATACCGCAAATCAGCGAATTTCCCTTGAATAAGGCTCCAAAGACAAAATCCGAAGTCGTGAATCCGCGATAAACGAACCGCGAAGTAGCGAGGGATCACTGTATAGTTATACTAAGTTAGAATGTTGTTAGGAGGCATGAAAAAGTGTTTTGTTTTCCACATTTGCTATAACAGCTTTAAAGCACTGCCACTAGCTATCAAAACATTCTGTGTTATCACGTTTCTGTGACCCTCACCTTGGTCTTTGTTGTCGCTGTGCCCGTTGTCGTGGGTCGCCTCACCGTCTGAGCTTGGTCGGTCACATGATGCTCTCTGGCAACCGAAGAATCCAAAGTAGAAGAAGACAAGATGTACAGCAGAGTCATGACGTGAACCAACTCAAAAACCAACAAGCCGAGAAAGGCAATAACAATTTAGCCATTAAAAAAAACTCATCCAACCAATGAAAACCACAATACAGTAAAGAAGTTCTCTTCTTCCAAATGTACATTTTACCTTTTCCAGTTCAGGTTTGTGTACAGGTGAACCAGATCCTATCCCCTCCAGGTCTGTACTCCCATTTACACACACCTCCTTCATCACCTGGAAAACACAAGTACATGTTACCTAATGGGGCCATCATTTACACCCAACCAGAGCAACGTCCCACAGAGGGAGTGTGATTCATACAGCAGAGTGTCTGAATCTTCCCTCCTGACATCATTACAAAAGGGTGGAGCACTGATTCAAATTTTCTTGAAATATTTCAAATATCTTCCAAAGGAATTTCCCCATAACTCAGAATATCATTCTGTCAGGCTGGAGGTAACGTATGCCACATGTTTGGTATCTAGTCCTTCTCACATTTCCCATCATGCTTCTTGAAGAGGCAACAGACACCACGCAGAGGATGTTTAGAGTGGCGGTGATGACAAGTCTGCTACACAAACTCTACAACATGCATCTGATCCCAGAACAGAAACTTCCACAGGCCCTTCAGAGTGACCTGTGTCCTCGGGGCCCTCATTTAGAGCTGATGAGGTGACAGGGATGTGTGCGGATGACCGGTGGAAAGGGGCGAGTCAGCCAGTGCACTCCGACACAAAGAAACCCTCCAAGCTCGTCTCCACAGCACTCTGAACCATCTTTGGCTGCACAGCCATCCCCAGCTCATGGTTTTGGCTTGCAGGGAGCATAATTGAGTTTGGTTGGGAAAATGACAGGCTGTGGCTCCATGGGTCTGGCTCGAAGGACTCAGAGGCTCACAGTCTACTCCGTATTGGAGAGCTGCAACTGTTAGGCTGGAGGGCTATCTGGGTCTGAAGTGTGCTACATAGCTAAGTGGTGCTGGTGGTGAGACCATGGGCAGGCTTCTGGATGCTAAAACATGACTTTAAATGAAAACAAGTTGTAGATAACTTCCTGTTTTCACTTTTCTTTTCCTCAGCTTCCATGGCTGTATCTTCTCAGTTTGAATCGCTCCTGTAGACACTACTGAAGGCTGGAGAGACATTTCAGCTGTTAGATTAAGGTGTTAAAAAGACAAACGCATGGCGAGGAGAAAATATTTGCTTTCAGTTCTACAATCGGACACTAGGGGGTGCTAAAAGTAAGCCACAACTGCCTAGTCTCCCTTTAATGTCTCTATATGACAATTATAATTCATGTTAAATTATAATTTTTTTGTTTATTGTGCTTAAATTATTTGTTTCCAAACAAATTCGTAAAAATGAAAACCTGAACGCTTGAACAAAAAAATGTCAAAAACATTTATGTGAGGTGATACGACAAAGGTGGAAAAGAAGCTCACATAAAAAAAGGACAAAATGGAGATATCCATGCATTTTTAGAGGAGATGTGGGAGGTTCTGTAGGGATGAAGTAAGGACATGATGGGGACATGTGTGTTCCATAAACACATCATCAGCAGATGGGTTAAGAGCGTCATCACTGTAACTGGCCGTCTCAGGAACGCCTCTCCAATCTTTCCCTTAACCCTCCTTTGTTCTATCCGCTCATCGCTCCCCTCTTCTCTCTTACCCTCTTCCTCCTCTCACGTTGCTTCCTCTTTTCCTTCATTCTTTTTCCCCTTTCGCCCTCTCACCCCTCATCTCACTCTGCTGAATAATATTTCACTTGGGTGGAGAAAAGAACTCTATTTTCATGATCTAAATCATTAATATGAAATTGAAGAAGGACTTTTATTAATGTTTTATGCCTCTTGGCAGATGAGGAGCTCCAGGGAGGTGGACAAAAAAAAGTGGTTGGAGGAAAAAAGGAAAAGCTAAAAGAAAGTGGAATCGAACCTCGGACAGAGAAAAGCTGCATCGCGCTGCTGCCACAGACGCAGTAGATGGGTGTAAAACCCAGGCTGATTAGCAGAAAGCGGGCATGTCCTGAGTCTCAGCTGGAAGTGATGAGGGCGGAGTGCAGCAACATGACGAACTAAATGAGCATCGATTAAACTAACAAAAACACCAGCGTGATTGCGTGAGTGAACAACTCCCTGCTGCAATGTTATCAGTTCAACATGTACCTCACAACTGGGGAGCCGACCAACATGAACAGGCCTGAGTGGTTATTAGTTCAGGCATTGCTGTAGTTTGGATTCTGTACAGGCAGGTATATTTTCTGTCTGTTTGAGTGTTGAAACTGGGTTTTCCTGAATCCATCGATCAATAAGTAATGACTAATTACAGAAAGGAACTAGAAAAATTTGCATTTCTTGCAGAAATGCTGTTTGAATGCTGGATAGCTGAAACTGTAAGCTGAAGCTGCTGAACAGCTGAACTGAAGCTGAAACTAAGCAAAACTGTCAAAATGAGCTAAATGTATTGAAAGATGTAGAAGCAAAAAGCTCCAACAACCAAGTAAAGCACAAAATGTAAGTGAATAATAGAGAAAAATAATCCTAAACAGCAGAAAACTGAAATCTGTGAATATTGTATAAAAATCTGGACAGCTAAAATGTCTAAACACCTGTTATTTCAGTTGAACAAGTTTAACAGTTTAATTTTTTACATTTAGCTGAACTGTGAAATTAGCAGCATATGCTAAATTTGGAAACTGATTGCTGAAGCTGCTGAATAGCTGAAGTGAAGCTGAAACTAAGCTAAACTGTCAAAATGAGCTGAATGTATTTAAAGATTTAGAAGCAAAAATCACCAACAAATGTAATAAAGCCCAAAATATAAGTGGAGAATGGACAAAAAAATGCCAAAATGCAGAAAACTTTAATCTTTGAACATTTATTAAAAACTCAAAAGTTGAAATGTTTAAACAGCTGGAATTTGAATGAGAATAGTTTAATGGGTACATTTTTACAATTGGCTGAACTGTGAATTTAGAAACATTTACTGATATCTGAAACTGATAGACTGACATATGTTCAGACTTGGTATGGAACTGATGAATGGTTGGAAGAATGAAATGGATGGATGGACTGTTGGATGGATGTTAGATGGTTTACTGGATGGATGGATGTTAGATGGTTTATTGGATGGATGGATGGATGGATTCCTTAGGCCAAGCCGATCGATTTGATGTCTCACATGTGTGGGTGTGTAATTCCATTTAGCCAGAAGATGATTGACCTCTCTCAACCAATCAGGGAGCGGGGCACTTTCCCACCTTCTGACAGTCAATCAAATTTAACTTGTTTTTAGTTTTAAGTACAGATAGTTCAAAAAGATCAAAAACAGAAGTCTGTTATTGGCTCAATGTTCAGCTTTTTATATTCATTCCTATGAGACTTGGTTAAAGTGATTTGTAGTTCCTTGTGTTGTTATGGTAACAGTACAATGTGACATAACTTTTAATCTTTGAATAACATTTCTATATTAAAGTATGTTGATACAGTTGAGTCTAAAATGTTGTTAAATGTTGTTGCTAAGCACATTGCCATTGGTAATGCAGAACACAATATCAAGTTAATACAAGACTCCTGGGACCAAGCAGGTTGAATTGATGTATCAAATGTGTGGGTGCATATTTCCTTTTAGGCAGAAGACGATTGAAAACTCTCAGCCAATGAAAGAGCAGCGAAGGAGGAGGGGGCGGTTCCTGCCTTCTGACTAGTGTTAAAATGTCAGCTATGCAGCTAGTTTTAAGTGTATAGAGCTCAGAAAGATCAGAAACAGCAGTATGTTAGTACAGTGGTGTCAAAAGTACTCACATTCATTACTCAAGTAAAAGTATAAATTCAAGGTTTTCAAAAGACCTTTTTAGAAGTTGAAGTATCAACTTAAGCTTTTTATTCAAGTAAAAGTATAAAAGTACTGGTTTCAAAACTACTTAAAGTAAAAAATTAGAAGTAATTTAAGGGAACAAAAATTACATTAATGACATTAATAAGCTTGGGTCATGCCGCAGGGCCTACAGTCCACCCACAGAACAACATACAGTTACCAATAGTCTTTGTTCAGCCTCAAAGGCACCTGGTTCTCAAAGTTCTTTGAGCTTATGCATGCTCTTCTTGGCCTGAAGATCAGCCCTGCAACAACAAACAGTCTTTCACAGGCTGCTGAGGCAGGCAGTGCCGTATTTAGCTTTAGTGAAGGCTGGCACACAGCTGGGAAGGACCTCAGCACCTCTAATGTTTCTCCTGGGCACCCAAGGTACGCATCCAACTGCTGGCTCGTTTCAAGTGGGCCGGTCTTCTTCAAGGAGGAAAAGAAGTCCTCTTCCTCAAATGAGATCAGTGAGGAGCCCTCACTGACATAATTCTCGACCTGGCGATCCAAGTGGTTTCTGATATAGTCAAGGCCTGTAGAATAAAAATCAAAAATCAGGACAATTTAGATTATATGACAATATTATAATCGTATACTGGATAGTGTGTGTGTGTGTGTGTGTGTGTGTGTGTGTGTGTGTGTGTGTGTGTGTGTGTGTGTGTGCGTGCGCGTGTGTGTGTGTCTGTGTGCTGTGTGTATTAATGTATTAAGTGGAAGTTGAGAAGTGAGACACATACCAAGTTTGAGGACATTTTCATCACTTGTCCAGCGGTTCTTGAATTTGGGAACTAGAATGGCTGCAGCTATCAGCTCTGGGCTTCCATGCATCTCTCCGAAGCGTTTTTCAAAGCCTGAAAGAAGTGCAGCAATCAAAGGCTCACAGAACTGGAGGTGGCGTGAAGTTGCTGTAGCTTGGTCCTCAGTAAAGTTATGGTGGGGACCAACCATCCCATCTGCACACTTGTTTCTCCCTGGAGAACATCAAGTGCCTTTGCAACTGGGTTCATTGCCTTTGCATATTCTGCAAGAAATGCAAGTTCCACTGGAGTAAACCTGTAAAACGAACAGAAAACACAACACGGCCGCGGATTCCTCTTCCATGGTCTCAGGAATCTTGTATTCAATTTTAAATGCGTTATCTGTTACAATGGTAACACTAGTGCATAAGGATATCCCCAAACAAGTCTATTTGAAATGAATGTGAAAAGCCTAATAATCGAGCCTGTTTCTTATCTTTCTGAGCTCTATACACTTAAAACTAGCAGCATAGCTGACATTTTAACACTAGTCAGAAGGCAGGAACCGCCCCCTCCTCCTTTGCTGCTCTCTCAGTGGCTGAGAGTTTTCAATTGTCTTCTGCCTAAAAGGAAATATGCACCCACACATATGATACATCAATTAAACCTGCTTGGTCCCGGGAGTCTTGTGCTTTATTACATTTTTTGGTGATTTTTGCTTCTAAATCTTTAAATACATTCAGCTCATTTTGACAGTTTAGTTTCAGCTTCACTTCAGCTATTCAGCAGCTTCAGCAATCAGTTTCCAAATTTTGCATATGCTGCTAATTTCACAGTTCAGCTAAATGTAAATATTAAACTGTTAAACTTGTCCTACTGAAATAACAGGTGTTTAGACATTTTAGCTGTCCAGATTTTTATACAATATTCACAGATTTCAGTTTTCTGCTGTTTAGGATTATTTTTCTCTATTATTCACTTACATTTTGTGCTTTATTTGCTTGTTTGTGCTTTTTGCTTCTACATCTTTCAATACATTCAGCTCATTTTGACAGTTTAGTTTTAGCTTCACTTCAGCTATTCAGCAGCTTCAGCTATAGTTTCAGCTATCCAGCATTCAAACAGCATTTCTGCAAGAAATGCAAAGTTTTCTAGTTTAATTTTGAATACTCTCAAAGAAATGAACAAAACGACCACAATGTTTGGAGTACATTCATTAATTATAGCTTAAAACGAAGGTATATCCATTAGCTGCCAGCCAGCATGCATCTCATTTCAGTCGGACTTACGGTTTTCTCAGGACAATGTCAGAAATGGAGCAAAGGAGGCTCATTGCTCCTACCTCTGCCCATTACCTGTGATTTTAGAAAAACTGTAATAGATATCAAAAATACTTTTTAACCAGTAATAGCTGAAAGACTTGTGAGTTTGTTAAAACCTGAATGAAGTCTCTAGGTTGAAGTTAACCTATAAGAGTAAGAGTTCAAAAAAGTGATAGGATTTAGCTGAAAATTGAGCAATCCCATTCATTTCAATGGGACCAAAAATCGCAGATGAAGCTGAATATCTCAAAAAGAATAAAATATTTTAATACCTAAAGTCATTGCCGGCATAAGCTGAATGAGCTGAATGTTTTGATACCAAAATTGTGTAAATAGTTGAAGAATTGTGGATGTAGTTAAATGCCAAAAAACGTACGGAAGCAGAATAATAATAAACTAACTATAAAAATAAAGAGAAACAGGAAAATATGAGATGACAAACTGGGTTAAGCGTGACCACTTCCACCTCAGTCTTGTAGCTACATCCTGAGGGCAGCAGACAGAAATGGCTGTAGAGGCGGCGTTCTGGGTCACTGCTGACAGTCCAGACCAGTGGTGGGCAACTCTGGTCCTCGAGGGCCTCTATGACCGACATGGCTCTTTTCTTAACTTGCAAATGAATTAAACTTCCTAAAAATTGCAGATTGCTGATAATTTGCTCTGGTTCTGTGACACGTGCACATAGTCTCTGGTCTCTGCAGCAGCTGCAGGAGTGCTTCTTCTGAGCACCTTAAATGATCTGCACATGGTGCATAGCGCACTCTGATCTGTAACAAACACAAGGTTAACTTATCATTTCTTATTATTGTGACATTTGTGCTGAACTAAAAATGCCAGACAGAATGACTTTTTGACCTATCAGTGCTTCAGCAGTCCAACAAACAGCGGAGTGAAACCAGATCTCCGGTTTCACTTTCACTCTTCAATCGGCTGCCTAACAGTAAAATCGGCAATCACAATAACTCTTTATGGCTCGTTACAATGTTTAGAAATATTTTCATATGTTTTCTCGTGTTTCTGCCTGGCCAAAATAAGGGTTGCCACAAAAAAAGATACAAAATAAGAAGTGTCGCCAAGATCTTGCGTTGATGATGGTAGAGTCTGACCGCTGCACAAGGCCTTCTCCAACTCATCCCAAAGATTCTCAATGGGGTTAAGGTCTGGACTCTGAAGTGGCTAATCCATGTGTGAAAATTATCTCATGCTCCCTGAAAAACTCTTTCATTATCTGAGCCTGATGGATCCTGTCATTGTCACCTTGGAATATGGCCGTGCCATCAGAGAAGATGGACTAACCTGGTCCTTCAGTATATTCAGGTAGTCAGCTGACCTCATTCTTGGAGCACATCCTGTTGCTGAACAAGGACATTTTCCTACATCAGGGGAACTCAAATATAAGTGGTCAAGGGCACATTAAAATAAATCTTATGTTATTTGAGTAAGTGGGGCTCACAGTATGGCTGTACTGGCAGGTGAATCAAGAGTGTTGGAACAGGGAAACAACTAAAACATGTTGGATAGCGACCCTCATTGGACTGGAAGTGCACACCCCTGGTCTAGGGTGTGCATGTGGTGGCTTTATTGTTTAGGTGGAAGAGGTCTGTGATGGACAGGTCAATGATTTTGGATGCTGGGTTGATGATCTTAGTGAGGTTGTTTCTATTGGTGATGGAAATCATTATAAAAGGGAGCGGTAGAGAAGGACACGTTGGATATTGCTGGTGCATACCAAGCTCTGCAGAAGCTGATTAATGGATACTTAGAAAAATTTTCATATTTTTGCTTTCAGTTCTAGAAACGAACATTAGGGGGTGCATAAATCAAGCCTAAACTGCCCACTCTCCCTTTAAAATCAGGTGTGTTGAAGCAGGGAAAAAACAAACAAGCTGGTCCGATTTCGTCAGACAATATTAAAACATGTCAGTAATGTCCGACGAGTTTTCACAAGCGCTAGAGTGTGAACAGAAAGGGGCCGAGTACACATCCCTGAGGGATGCTAGTGGATGAAGTGACTGAGCCAATTCTGAAAGATGCTATATATGTGCTAATGATCTAATGATTTGGCCATAAACAAATAAAATTTTCATTTTTAACACGGATTACCAAACAGAGAAAGTCTGATGGGAAGTCTGCAGAAGCTAAAGAGAGAAAACAATTCACAGAATTGGAATGCCAAATGTGTGAAGGGGGATTCTAAAATAGTGCACTACTGTTTGAAAAACAATTGGTTCCAGGGGGCTCAGCTGGTTCTTTGAAGACCAAAGACCAGCTGGAGATCATCTTTTCCTCAGGCTGAAACACCAGGAGCTCAGAGGAGCTCATTAACCAACAGACGTGAGAGTCAAAGAGCAGAAAGCACCAGACCCCATAGGGTGAGTTTGGATAACACGGTTGTTGAGCCACTAGGCAGCACTGTCAGAGAAAGCCAGACAGTATGCTGGAGGGAGACTGTCGGAGACAGAACATGCCAGAAACAACGATGAGAGGGATCAAAGGAAGACTAAACCAAACATCTGAGACACCAACAGGAACAACTGTTCAAAGCCAAACAGCCAAACAATGTCAGGAAGAAACTCTTCCTGAAAACACCAACCCCAATCACAGTTTGAAGAATCTGTCTCTGGAATCTAAAGCATACTTATGGAAGTAAGAAGAAGAAGAAGAAAATATCATTTCTATAGCGCCTCTCAAGATAAAAATCACGAGGCGCTTCAAGAAAGTAAGGTCCCAACACAAACACTAAGCTTTATCTTACACAGCAAAGCTCTGCTGAGTTCTGGGTGCTGTTCTTGGTATATGAATCGTTTGTTTTCCATTCATTACAATATCTTTATTCTCATAGTTGAAAAAACACTGACATAGCCCTGCTGCTGCAATAAGTTGTGATCTGTCAGAGTTCACGCACAATCAAAGCAAAGATGAAGCCAGAAAATTCCACATATCTATAAATATATATCACCTAGGGCTGGGTGATATGGCCTAAAATCAATATCACGATTTATTGAGGATTTCACCTCGATAACAATAAATGGATGATAACTACAGGTATGCGCAGAAACAAAAGTTGTCCACTGGATGGGGCTGTCACAAGTATCACGTTGAGTCACATTTTTACGTGACTCATGGTGGTACAGCTTCTTAAAGGGTCATGAAAGTTGCCAACCTGCACACATCTTTTCATTTTTTATAATCAAATTTATTGACATTGGAAAACTTATCACGATAAGAGTCAAAAATTTCGATAATGGTAACATTTCGATTTATTGCCCAGCCCTACCATCACCCTTGGCTGCTGAAGCTAAAAGTTGTTAGCCACATTCCTGAACACAACAACCAGCAGATCCCAGTGATTATGCTGAATGTGGCATTATTCCCAGATCAGAACTTGAACTCTAGACCTAAGTGGAGTGAAGCATCGGCTGCTAGCTTTACCTTGAGCCATTCCTCAGCTTGTTCTTTGCTCTGCACAGCCAGCACCAAGGCATCTGCCCCCTGGTGGACAATCTTCAGTTCATTCTTCTTCTTCTTGCCATCCTTGGGAATGTGAGTGATGCTGCATCCTGACAGAGTGAGCTCCATCTGAGGGGTTTGGTCTTTGGAGGATTTATAACACTAAACAAAGATGACAAAGCATGTCAACCACAACACTGGATTTCATACATCATCATGTTCTGAAATGTTAAACGTTTTAATAAGATTGATCATATTGAAGTTGCAAACATGACTTCATGTCCTCAGTGTTTAACTAAGGAAGAAGGACTACTACAAACTTCCATCCATCCATTAGCTGAACCAACTTTTCTCGGGAGCTAGTGTTTAACTCCAGCAGTCAGCATCTGAGAGGTGGGGGACACCCAGGACAGGTCTCCAGTCCATCAAAGAGACGCAGAGACACTCACTCACCTGAGGACAGTTTAGAGTCTCCGTGTCGGACATGCATATTTTTGGTCTTTGGGAGGAAACTGTAGTACTCCGAGAAAACGTGTGCATGCATCAGGAAAACTTGCTAATTCAATGCATCGGTGGGGATAACATGTTAAAATCACAGAGGAAGGTTGAAACCACGATTTGAACCTTCTCTCTGCAAGGCAACAAGGTCACCAGCTGCACAACCACTTTATCCAAAAACCATTTATCCATCAGATGTTTTGCCCCAGAGCCAGAGCTCGACTCTGTGTAATGTGGGACCTTGTTGAGGCCAAGAAATTTCCTGAAAAGCAAATTAATTCAGCAAGAAATGCTTCTAGAAACAACATCCTCAGGAGTGCATGCCATTATTGTGAATCCTTTCAGAATTACACGGATTAAGGAAAATAAATGATTGTACATGAGGACTTACGGGTTAAATATACAGAAGATGATTTGTGAAATCACCGTCAATGACTATAAAATATTACAGGAAAGTTTGATTTCTCGCCTAAAGTCTGCAACGCTCTAGTGTAATCACTCAGCAGCCATCTCTCACCAGTAGTTTGTTGTCTTTGATGACACAGAGGAGTTTGGTCCACTGGCCGAAGCGTTTCTTGCGAAGCAGAAAGGCACAAATACGAGCATCTTTCACCAGATCCATGGATGCCTCTTCAGATGGCCACTGGTGATGCATCTTCTGACCCTTCAAATCCTCCTCCTCCTCATCATACGACTCATAGGAACTGCTCATCGCATCCGAGTCATAGTCTGAGAGGAAAAAGATTCTTTCACTTTTAGAGCCAACATGTTCTCATAAAGCTGAGAACTTGAACTGATGGAAGACGCAATATTCTGAACTGTTGTGAAGTAGAACTGAAGCCTGTTACTCACTGGAGGTGATGTACTCAGGAGCCTTTCCGGGGCTTAAAGGAACCGCCTCCTCATAGTAGCCTTCTGGAAGTGAGGAGCTTGGCAATGGAGGAGGGCCGTTGCTTGGGGCCTACAGAGAGAACAAACTCCTCTGAGTACACCAAGAGGCTCCAATGTTTGTTCACAATGAAATTTAGCAGCATTAGATGAAGATTCTGATTTTTTATGGCTTTGGTACTTTTATTCAGTTCAACACAAATAATGTCCAAACCTAAAACGTATGAAAAACTGCAATTTAGAAAAGAACTACATAGCTTTACTGTTATGTACAACATTCATAAGCAAGTAAACAACATGACCCAACAGGATGAACATGTCCCTCCATAACTTCTCTTGCATCTTAATCCAGAGCACGGCTATGGTAGGGTTCTCCTGGGTGGATGATTAGGTAGCTTCCCTTAGTCGTGTCTGTGTTCGAAGGTCAAAATGTGTCTGAGTTCACTCCTTTGGCTGAGAAGCACCCTGCCAGAGTAACTGTGCACTTGCTATCAGCACACACATTGCTATAGAAGTTACTATCGTCTAGCTCCATAACTCTTACTGTGCCTTTACACCAGATGCGTAATGGCACTTTACAGACACGTTTTACCCACGAGCCCTCCTTGCACTGGTAGCGTTTCAGATGCCAACTGGCAGCAAAGGTGTTCCAAGCAGCCGGTCACGTGAGGTAAGTCAGTAGCTAACTGCTGGGTACTACGCTTCCTGTACTTTTCACGATGCTTGTGCATCTGGTGGAAAAGCCCACTTAGCTGTCAAAAAGGGTGGGGCAAGTTTATGTCAGTTTGTTCAGTTACTATTTCTCTTGTGACACGCTATGAGTTTATTTTGTTATGGTGACTCTTGTTTCAGTTCAAGAGGACCCTCCTCTTCCTCAGCCATGTCTTTGTGAATCTGCAAATTTGTGGATGATAAGAGTGATTTACCTCGGTCTCTTAATCCCGTTTCTCTCCAACTCACTTGTCTGACTAGGAGTTATACAACACCATTAAAAACTCTTCTTCCCTCCTTTTCAGCACAATGTGAACACATAAATGTTCCCATAATTCTACTTCCTCCGGAATGCTCCACAGTAAGCAAAAACCCAAAAAGGAATGCAAGGATTAATAATAAAAAGGGATTTTATTGAAGGTGTTTTGAATGGCGGCGAGGCTGATCAGAGATTTATCTCCCCTTCTGCCTGTAGTCAGTGTCGGCTCTGAGACAGGAGGTAATTAGCTCCAGTATGTGGCTTCTGTGCTGTGAGAGAGCAGCTCTTCTGTCAGTTCAAATAAGGACAACATACAGGAAGCTGTTCATCATCTCAACACCCTTAAACGTGTCTGTGCAAAGCTGGGATAACTGCTAGAAACAGGGAGACAGATCACTGAACAGGAAAAACTTTGTTCATGAGACAGAAGTGTTGCTCTGAGAGGGTAGCAGAACAATCGTTTAAACACTCTACAGGAAGAGGGACCGACTTTACAGACTGACATTATCCTGTTGTAGATTTGACTGTTTCTCATTCTGCTTGTTTTTTTATATTATACATCATCATCATCATCATCATCAATTTTATTTATAAAGAACCTTCCGCAACGTTATCAAAAGCCCAAGGTGCTGAACAAGAAAAAAAATATATGCCCAGTACATAAGAACAGGGTAAAATCATAGGAAGGATCATAAAATAGTAAAAAAAAGAAAAGATACAATTATAAAAGCCAATAAAATGATGTTAGTCAATTAAAGCAAATGGCAAAAATAAGAGCTAAATTAAAAACATTTAAACCATAACATAAGGCCCATTCAATGAACCCTAATGCTAAAAAGGTATCAAATAAAAGTGAGTCTTTAGGCGAGTCTTAAAGACTTGGAGGGACAGAGTCTGCCTAATGCTCAATGGTAGTTCATCCCACAGAATTGGGACGGATACAGAGAATGCACGATCCCCCCATGATTGATGTTTCGATCGGGATTCAAACAGAACATCCATCATTAGAGAGTTAGTATTGTTAAATTGTTTCAAATTATTTAGTAATAAATCATCTGAAACGTTTGAAGGTCTCTCTCTCTCTCTTCTCTTGTCTCTCAGTTAATACAAAGTGTTATCTAATCCCTGCATTAAAAAGTTCCAATCTTCTGAATAAATAACCCAGTGGTCCGTAAGATGGATTTCATACTCGATATGCAATTTTAATGTCTTGCGGTCCTTAATTAAATGTAAATTAATATCATTACACACAAACACACTAATTTCTATGTAAATAGATAAAGATTAAGGCACATTATACTAGTTATTAATATCCATATGAAACATCAACAATTATGGATACATTTACCACATCTTATTTACAGGAGCTGCCACACCAAAGTACAGTGCTAAATACTAGGGTTAACCCTGACTCCAGTAAATACAAAATGCAGTTTTCAAATGATTATTTTTTTGTGTAAGAGCTGAAAGCAAATCTACCGGATTCCATTTGAAAAAGTAATAGTCCAGCTTATTATGAATAACCACAGAATTTCTCCTCAGAAGGCTTTTGGGATCATCAAGATGTTTTGGGGCAAACCTGAGGTAGTTTGCATTGGTGAGAGTCAGTGCCCCAAAACTCTCTGTTGGATCCATTTCAAACTCTTGTCTCGCTCTTAATCTTAATTTATACTTCTCAGCCAGCAGGACTGCGCTCACACTCATGTATATTGATGGAGATGCTTTTCTCCTGCCTCGTTGGTGTGTCAGTGCTGTGGAGCAACCCTCTGCAAGGACAACAGAGGGCGTATAGCGCTTGTCTGGGGCTTCTGGGGTAAAGAAATTGGTCATTGGTCATATGGCACGACAACATAAAAACATGCTGCAAAGACAAAAGGACTAAATGTCTGTAGAGTTGGTTTCTGATCGTTTGGAGATGGAGTAAAAACTGAAACACTGATCTAATAAAGTGCATGGCTCAATGCTAACTTCATGTGTGTTTTTAGTCAGCCTTGAGGCACCAGATTGTGTTACTTCTAGAGCCAGGCCAACTCCACACCACTCGCTGTCAAGAAGAGCTTTTGAGCATGAAGGAAACACCGATAAGCACCAGTCCAACAGTCCAGTGGAGCAGGGAGGAGTTCCTGAGGCGACTCATGGTTTTGTGTGGGAGAATTTATTAACACGATTACTGAAAGAGAGCACCGATCTTGGACAATTCTTCTAAAAATGTAACAATGATCCTGTGGAACCAATCTTTCAAAACATGCCCTTTGTTTGAAGTGTAAACCTGAGTTCCTCTGTTCCTATTAACCACTCTGCTCCTCATCCTCCTCCATCCTGCTCATCTACAGGACAGACCACGAGCCAGAACTCAGGCAGAAACCTTATCGCATCACCACTGGGGGAAACAGCGGTTCAGTGAACCCCGTTCTTGGCAGGGATACAGAGCCCTGAGAGACTCGTCCCTCGACCCTACACCAGATATAAAGGGTCATCCCCATGGACAGGAAGACAGGATGGGGAAAAAAAAACAAAGAAGCAGAAAGAACAAATGTTCTAAGCCTACGGGTCCAAAAGTGTTTGGTAGGAGAAAAATAGATGTGGGACAACTTGTTTGTATTGAAGGAAAAGGTTTGTTGATGTGAAAGCGGCTGCTTTATCTTACTTTACAGAGACTTCCTTTGGAGACAGTTAGCAATAACAGCGACACTGATGTTAGCTGATGGAGTAAGTGTTTTTCTTCAGTCGAGTAGTGCACTAAATGTGATCCTACTGCTTAGCTATGTAGTGACTCAATGCTCAGAGGCACGAGAGAGAGAGAGAAAGAGACAGAGAGCCAAAGAAAGAGAGAGAGAGACAGAGAGAGAGACAGAGAGAGAGAGAGAGGGTTAGGGTTAGCGTCCAGTTTGCTAAAATATTTAGCCCCTCTCATTTCACTCAGTATTTCTTCTTGCGTTGGGATCTGATAATGTTCCCTTTTAATATTTTTATTCAGATCTTTGGGATCAAGACAGACTCTTAGTGTTCCTGTGTTCTTTTTCCTGACACGTGATAGAGTTCACCCAGTCTGTGGGCTCCTCTACTTTTTCAATGACACCCAACTGAGTGATTCTCTCTAGTTCCTTTTTGAGTGGTGCAGGCACTCTCCTTGGAGCATGCACCACAGGCCATCATCTTTGAGCTGGATTTTGTAGGTATAAGGTAATGTTCCATGACCTTTGAAGACAGAAGGAAATTTGTTAATGTCTGTACTTCCTTCTTCTGTTTTGTTTTCCAATCTTTATCCTGTTTTGACGATTTTCATGCTGTCTGTATTGATCTGACAGATCCTCTTCACAAGTCCTAGGTCCTCAGATGTTTTATCACCTAGAAGTGAATCATGTCCATCAGGCACAGTGGTTAACAGTATGTTATGCTGTTTGCCTTTTGTAGCCACTTTAAGTCTGCATCCAACTTTGTTTGTATTGGCTGATTAGTACAAGCCTTCAGCGGTGTGACGTTCCTTGTAATTATTTTAGGCTTCTCAGTCAGTGCCTTAAAATCTCTCACTGATCAGGTTAGCTTTGGCCCCTGTATAAATTTTGAATGTAATGATTGTCCCATTGACTAACAGTGGAGCAGTCCATTTATCTTCCGTTACTGCACAAACCGCTGACTCAGACTTGTTTACTTCTGAAACTTGTGATTTTATATCCTCTGACGCCATTTCAATAAAGAATGAGTCATTTAGATCATCACTGCCATCCGAGTTTTCCTGCACTGTGTGAACTTCTTGTCCTTTCTTTTAGGAAAGACACATTTTTGCATAATGATTCTGTCCTTTGCATTTTGCACATTTTTTTCCATAAGCAGGACATTGTCTTGGTCTGAGTTTCTCCCCACATCTTTTGCAGGTGAACATTTGCTTTTGTCGCCATTGTTTTTAAATTAGCCCCATGGTTTCCTTTTCATTGTCACTGCATTCACTGTCTCATTTTCTTGTACGACTCCTACAGCAGGCTCTCTGAAAGTCAGAACATGTTGACGTGCTAGCTCGCTGGCTTGACATCTTTTTATGGCATTTTCCAATGTTAGTTCTGTTTCCCTCAACAACTTCTCACGGTGCTTCTTTTCATTAGTCC